CGGCAAATCGGCAAATTAACTCTTGCTTTCTATTGTCCCTCGCGACCTTGTCGCTCGATGACATCTCTTGCCATTTTGCCATCTTTGTCTCTCTCTCTCACTCTGTCTCTCTCTTCGTCGTTATATAATCTATCTCGTTGCGTCTATATATCGTGATTGACAAAACGGAAGCTACTGCGTCGCGCTCGTATATCCCGAGTTACTTGTTACTTCCTGAAATAATGCTCGGTCGAATTATGGAATGATACGAAGAGATGATATGGACTCCTTTTTTTTCAATAAAACAGCGACCGTATCGATTATTAATTTTATTATAATATTGGTAATTCGAGTAATGCAACGATGATAACATATACGGAATATGAAACACGCAGATTTGCCATCTCTTTTTATTTTACTTTTTACGATTTTACTTATCTATTTTATGAATATTTTTATGATCAATCTTAAACGATTATATGAACGCATATTATACTGTATTTCGCGAGTATATTTCTCAATATTTCTTTTCCACTAATACTACGGGAGATAATTATAATGTGATCCGTACACATAAACTTACACGCACACACGCACAGCCACGGACATGCGCGATATAACTTATCGTATATCAGGGTTTCATCTCGCGCGCGCGGTGAGAACGTATTTTGAAACATTTTATAATCAATTTGGGTCACGCATCGTGCCTGATAATAAAGTAATGGACAATCACGGGGAGCGTACATAGAAAGTAGATCGCGAGACTAGGTGAGCATCGTCGAGATCGATTGCAGCCGTAACCCACGCATTCACAGACAAGCTGATAACTATCCCGGCTATAACGTCCTCGATAACATTCCTTCTTGCTATTTCGCGATTTCGCGCATTCGCGCATCGTCAGGTCGTTATGCGTGTCCATGAAGTAGTCTGGAATTATATAACTACAGTTATATTAACTTTAAAAGTCAATTATTTTCTCGGTTAAAAAACTCACCTTTCTGAAAAATACATAGAATTAATAATATTTGAAATACACGCAATCTTGTTTGCATTGTAACCTGTGATTCTTCATACGAACTATATAACATCGAAGGTATGTAACTACTGTAAAGAGCAAAATTCATATCTTACGATTGATAATTTTTACTATGATGTATAATTGCTTATTATACAACTTAGTAAAAATAAAGTTTCCGTAATAAAAGTACGTATAAATTATAAGAAAAATTCTGCAATTGATTCACATAGTGTATTAGAGTCGCTCTTCGATAGATATATATTAATCAGTTTCATAATTTAGTGCCTTAATATAATGCGATTACGTAATCACTGCAAGATATTTCTTACCAAATAGTTCATCGCGTTTGAATCAATTACAAGTAACTGTAAAACTATTAGAATATTAAATCCTGCCGGGTTAGATTTCATAAAACAACCGACACTTTATCGTTATCAATTACATTTAACATTTTGATACGAAGTTGGCAATGTAATAAGTCGATATATTTATGTATTAATTATAATTATATTTATAATTCTCCATAATGAATTGTTGGACGCGTAAATTTTTATCATCGAAAAAATATCGATTATACAAAACACTACTAGCTCTGATAGCGGAGAATTACAGATACAATCGAAAGAGATTTCGTATAGCGATAGTAAAATCGATCGATCCTGGAGTTATTCGTAGATAAGCCGTATATATTCTCCATGGGTCTCCTCCCACCGTCAGCTACCTCGCCTTGCTTGCTCTCCCTTCCTCGGTCGTAATCGCGTGTTCAGCATCGCTCGCTGGTGCTGTATACACCGATGCTAGGAGTTAGTGAGCTTGCGCCACACGCTAGCGCCGTACATTAGCAGTGCTTTCTCAGTCCTCCGAGTCTCAAATGATACCTTCAGGCCTTTTCAATTCTTGATTCTCTTTCTCTCTCTCTCTCTCTCTCTCTTTCTTTCTCTTTCTTCCCGTTTCTATTTCTCCTTCCCCCTTTCTGCTTGTTTTGATTTCCCTTATCTCTCTTTCCACACTTTTGTATATTTGTTTCGTATTTTTCTTTATTTTTTTCCGTGATTACGTTACGGTATCTGGAAAGAATCAGTGAAGCTTCTCGACGAACAGCATTTATTCTTCAATCGCTCCAAGAGGAGGAAGGAAAATAAAGATGAAGAGAGCCTTTAGAGCGAGATTTATCGTTATCACTCTATATAGTATCCTTCTATTTTTGTGCTATAGCGGTAAGTGACGGAAATATGTTTGGGAGTGTACTAAGTTTTCCACGTCTAGATTCGAGATGCATTGCATATTGTTTGGACATATGTGTTAAAAACGAGGCGTGTTATATGTGCTATAATCTTAACGTGCGTATATGTAAAATGTACTATGACAATTTAAATTAAGACGCAATAACTGTAACTGACGTTGCACAGCGATATTAAACATTGGTGTAATAATTAAATATACAAAAGGGCGCAACAAAATGATTGCGCTATCGAAATATTTTACAACTGTGTGAATTATAAAGCAAATTTCAATTATTATCCTCCGTAACGTGAAAAAAAAAATCTTATTGGCAGATATAAATTATATAAGTCGTGAAATTATTTTTACAAGATTTATAAATCGGTTGCTTAATGATCTTGTCCACATCTCGTTCACTGCACAAGGATCGTAAATAATGCAAGTTATTTATTGGTGTCGCATTGTAAATTTATAGAAATAACGATTTTTGACGGGTACTTTCGTGAGTTTATGGTGAAAATAAAATTAGAATGCGCAGATATACAAAGACAATCTGACTGTACGAATATATCTTTCCGGAACACAGCTGGCGTGGCTGCATTGATTTTTCTACGGGATAACATCACCGAGGGTTCGATGAACTATATCCGTGTATGCGATGACGCATGCAATGATCGATTGATAAAAGTAGTGCGCCCTTTCCGTAATGTTTACACCTTCCGTATAAATATATCACAAATTGTCTTTTAATTTTTTTTTTTCATATAAAATTAATAATTTTTTAAGCTCTGTGTGCGCGATGAGAAACTCAAGGGAATATAGCATATTTCTCTATTTTTGCTAGATATTATAGTTATCGAAATCGCTGTGTAAACGGCTTTAGCCAAGATTTAAAATTAATATGCCTCTCGATCTAGTTATCTCTTCTTTCCATTTTGATCTTTAACCTTGTTATCGCATAATATTGACTTTATAAGGAAATAACATTATAGGCAAGCTAAATTAAAGAAACAATCACAAATATTATTGAATTATTCACTATAGTTAACATATATATAATATAGGACATCGAATAATAATTGTCAAATAACATAAAATTTAAATAATAATAAATTTTATTAACATTAAATTTTATTCGCGTATGATGGAAAAATTTTAAGTCTCTTGATTTTCCGTCATTGTTTCAATTAAATAAAAAATCTCGTTTGAATCGAATTTGTAACTGCACGTTTTAAAAATAATTCGGTTAATAATTACAAACTGGAATTAAGTATAATTTTCGTAAATAAATAATAAATGTATCTCGAGACTATATGAAGCAAAACGAAAGTTTTCATTTTTTAACGTTGTAGCGAGTAACGTTGAATTATATGTATATGATGTATGTGCGCGCGTTTATAATGAAGATGTAAAAGAGATGCAAATAAATCGATTGCAATATTTTACAGGTGTTGATGCTATACAATGTTATCAGTGCAACAGTAAGAATAATAGCCAATGCTCCGAGCTTATTCCCCCAGACGCCATGAAGATAGATTGTTCGGATCTCAGGGACGGCGCGAAATATACAATGTGCCGCAAAATTACACAAGTCATCGAGTTTAGCGTCAACGGCCGTACGTGTTAAAATTACATTAATAATATCGTTAAATTTTAATTTACTTAATGTGCATCGTAATTTGTTTCTAAATTTAAGGAAATCAATTGATCCTTACGGATACATGCTATTATAAAATTCCATACGATTTATGTTTGTCCAACAAACGTTCATAATTGACATAAAAATATTATTTCCACATCTTTTTTTTTAATTATCGTACAGAATCTATATCTAAAATAAAACAAATTTGTTCTTTTTTTATACAGTAACAGCTAATACACGAGTTATTCGTGGATGCGGATGGGACGAATCAAATTATAAGGGCATGTGCTATCAACGAAGTGGTTTTGGCGGTAGGCAAGAAGTTTGCTCCTGTTTAAACGATTACTGTAATGCGGCAACGCCTGGAATTTTGCCGCCACAAGGCCTCATTCTTTCATGCGCTTTAATCAGTATGCTGCTAGCGTTTTTACGGAATTAATCGTTATTAAAAGACATCAAAATTCTCCTCCGTAGAGTTTATATATAAGACCATGATGAGCGAAAGCTGATAATTAGGGAACAGTAGAAAGATCTAATATATCAAGCGTGCTTTTGTTGACACGACTTCATGTCTGAACAGCAAATAGTTATTGAAAATAACGTATATCAAAGCGCGTATATCAAATAAAAGACCAGGAAAAAAATTTTACCCTATATAAATGGCAGAACATATAGCAACGCGAAGAATTTTTCATCTATCGAGAAGAAATAAAAAAAAAAAAAATCTTCAGAGTTTATATACATATATACGGAGTATTTTTCGCGAGTTGTTCATGTAGTCTTAGCAAATTGTGTTATGTCTAACTATTAATGTACTGAAAATAAATTATGTACATCGATATATATTATATAATTATCTAGATCATAATATATAAATAGATGTTAAATATTCTATAAATCTATAAAATAGTAGAATTTATAGAAAGAGTGAAAATTATGTTATATTTATATATATCGTTTATCTTTAAAATCTGTTTACTTTCGTTAATGAGATATAACGTATAAATATAATAAGATATTAATTTTAAAACTCGTAAACACGAATAAACTGTTTAAACGAATTTTAATATATTGTAAATGACAATTGTTATAATTAACAAACAAAAAGTATATTGATTAAATAGAAATGAACTTTTAAAGATAAAATTTCCTTAAAGACATTTCATAGAATTGTATTGAAAGTCCCTCCATACATATTTTATTATAATTTTTCATTATATAATAACTCTATGCGCGAACGATTATAATACATACATATCTGTAAATGTATTTACACCAAAATTTAATATCTGACATGTCTCGATATTAAAAATTTTGTGCCTGTTATTATACAATAAAAAAAAAATATTCAATCCGTATGTCCGGAAAAAGTTTTTATTCTTCAATGTCTAATTACGAAACATGTTTATTATCAGTATAATAGTGTAAGATACTAGACAAAATGTTGTCATTTTAATTTTTGAACTTTAAAATTATATCATAAAAATATGTCCTTAATATCTTTGGAAAATATCTACAATTTATAAAGCACTTATCTCGTTCATAAATTTATAAGCAAATTATACGATTTGTTTGCATAAAAAGTAAAAAGTGTACTTTAAATTTGTTGTGCGCGCACGCGTACACACACGCACATACACACATATTATGAACAAGAGTATTTCATTATTTATTTCACATTTTTCGGTATATATATAAAAGAGTCCATATATAATTAAATATAAATATATATAATTATATTTGATTATACCTTTTTTTTTGGTTATATATTCCTTTATGTCAGAAATATAATAAATATTGACAATGGTATGTATACATTAAACATTAGTATAGGATGTGTTACATCCTCTGGATGTCCTCTAAATGTCTTCTGGACATGTGTGTTGTTAGGATAGAGATTTAATCAGTATCTTCTATTTCGTATTCCGCTGTTTTGGATCAACTATATTTTTGAATAAACTTTATTATTTCTTAGCAGACTTGAGTGAACTGAAACTCTCTTTTTGCGCGTTGCTTTTACGAAACACTCAACATGTTTTGCACATGCGCCACTAAAAAAAAGCGGGAATTGCGAGTGACTTTGAATCATTCATTAGTAGAAAGAAGATCTTTAATTCAAAATTAGACCCGTCACATCTGCCAATTGTATTTTAAATTAGACAACGGGGTGATTTGATTGGCTGGAACTATGACCAGGCTGAACGCAGTTATTTAGAGAGATTGCGTTCTAGGGACTTCAACTAGTAATATATATTACTCTATAAAACAAATTTCTCTATTGGACATCGAATCTCGACGCAATCTTCCATAAAGGCCATTGAGCGTGAAAAAATTTTAGGCCGGTATTCATAGTCCGTTCTTATATTCAAGATCGTCTTAAGTACGATCTTGGGTCGTCTTAAGATCATTTCATTGGTTGAATGGGATCTTAAGACGACCCAAGACCACACTTAAGACGATCTTGGATATAAGAACGGACTA